AAGGCATAGGGAACCTGACCTTTTCTAGTGACAGAAGTAGCTATAAAGTTTTTAACTGCTCAGATGCATGGTAAAGGGCTGTGTAGTGTTGTAGAGTGTGTCTGCTGGAGGTTTCGGGTTGCTGCTTTATTAATATCACCTACAACTTGTACTAAGGAACAGGTGAACCACCTCAGAAACGCCCACTCACACCACAGCTAAATCCAGCCTTGCTATGCCCCTCTCCCCTCTGCTTAAGCCATAGAAGAGCACTTAGACACTGCTGTCAGCCTGGGGCTCTGACTACTGTGACTTGCATGTTCAACCTTAAAGAAATTCAGCTCTGTCACTGAGGACTAACACACAAGCATGTTTGGACGCATCTACTGACAGAGATTTATTTAGTGGCTGTCAGTTATAGCACAATTAATTTGACCTAGCAACTTAGGATGACCATGGTAGGAGGCCAGTGCAAGTGTTTGTGGAGCAGATACATTTTGGGACACCCTCTACACCCTGACAGAGTCATGTATATTTTGTGTGCTGAGAATGGGGCACTGGATTTCAGAGTCCGGAGACGTGTTCCCCTGCCAACATGCCTTTCAAGAAGGCAAGGCAAAAAGAAATAGCTTCAATACAACCATCCTGCGAGCCTGGTTCTGCAGAGAATTGTCTTTTTTTTTTGGCACTGAGGACAGCATTTTAGAGCTGATGAGAAAATCTAATAGGCTGATTTACTTGGATGCTTCGGTGTTTCTTTGACTTTAGCCAGGGAGGCCACAAGGGAGGTAGAGAAAACCCAAATATAATGCTGCATGAGGCTTGTTTGTATGCACTGGGGCTTGCAGACACTTGCTAAACTTGCACCTGCACGTGGGCCAAGTGGAAAAGGAGGGCAGGCGAAGGCAGAGAAAGTAGTTAGACCTTGCAGAGGCAGATTAACTTACCAGTCAGCAGCTCCAGGTGAGACCATGCAGGCTGGAGAAGCATATGAGCAAAGCAGGAGGCCTATGCCTGCCTGTTTGTACATCCTCTCTGCAATCATACTTCCTTGCAGAGGATTTCTGCTGTTCCAGGCCCTCTGACTGCACCCTCCTCTTCCTCCCCGTGGGAGCAGCCTCTGAGAGCTGGGGACCACGAGGTGGCAGTGGTGAGATAATATAACATGCAAACAGAGAGGATAACCCAAGTCAAAAAAGAACAGAAAATAATCTATTTCTCTCCTTCTCCCTCTCTCTCTCTCTCTCTCTCTCTCTCTCTCTCTCTCTCTCTTTTTTTTCTTTTTGTGAGCAGCCCTCACTTTCCCCTCTGCTAAACTGCCCATGCCAGAGCAAAGTGGAGGATAAGCAGAGTGTCTGGGTGAGGCATACCAGGATAATGATGGGCTGCTAGCATGAGCATCTGACCTCTTCTCTATTTTCTGCAGTCAGCTGGTCCATAGGCGCCTCGGTGACCCTTTCAAGGCCACAGAAGAGCTCTGTAAGCTACTGGGGTGAATTTAATTGCTCCTCTTGCCACTGCGTTTTGGAGGGAGAGGATGGCATGGGTAGCAATAAGGAGTTAAGAATAAGCAAGTCCTGAGGCAGAGAACAGCAGGCAGCAGCAGTACTTGATATTGTTTGGAAATGGGCCAGAGTGGCCAATCATCCTGGCCTCAGGGCTCGCCTGAAGACTTGTGAATCACAGAGCCACAGAGAAGGCAGTGCAGGGGCAGTTCACTGGAGGAACGTAACAGTGCCTCAGTCCCTGGTATCTGTTGTTAAAGCTAGGCATGTGCCCAGGTATTTGCAGATGTTCTCACAGAAAAAGCCATGTCCTTGGACACTGTCTGACTCTCAATTTGCAGTGTATTTAGGGAACAAGACATGATATGTCCCCATGTGAGGAGGAGCCTTGTTGCATTTTCGGAGTAGCAGCATCAGCATACACAATGCCTGCTGCTTTGACAGACTCCTGGGCCTCTGTTACAGTGCAGAGCACAGAAACCTAGAACATAAGAGTATGCTAGTTTAGCATCCCACTGTGCTGCTGTCTCTAAGCATGATCAGGCCCGTTTGACTGTC